TAACATGTCGAGGTTGTAATCGGGATCTTTCTGTGCTTTATTCGGTATCAAGGCAGATCTTTCTGTAAGAAGTACCCAGCCACAACACGGGGCGAGCAAGCGTCAGTCCGTGTTTTGAGCCTCTGAGTATCAGGCATGTTGCAGAAGTTACTCTGAGAGTCTGGTCCAGTGATCTAGTAATGTTGTGTAGCTTTTTACTGTAAGATAAGGAAATTGTCTCACTGTTGGAGAACTTGGATCAGCTGTTTCTAGAAAAATGTGCTGGTGATCTCTAGCAACAGGTCATGAGAGCGCTCTGTCTGACTAGGATAGAGAATAAACGCTTTAAACCTCCTACATGGGTACAGGTCCTAAAAAAACACAGCAATTAAAGCTGGTATTAAATTATGTTGCCTGCCTACGTAATTACTGTGTTGGAAGCAGTAAAAGCATAATTAGGGGTGTGGGTCCTGAGGACTGCCTCTTCGACGGCTGCCTGATGTGGTAGCAGTGGTAGCAGTCTTCATGGAGAGCAGAGATGGGCCCTGTTACACTTGGACTTCAAATGCCCATCCGTTTCTTGCATGTGTATAGTGCTGGAGGACGTGTTTGTAGCCTGCTGTCCCTGTCTTGTATTTATTTTAAATTTGAGAAAATGTGGTTTTTTTACTATTTTTTGAGAAAAAGAGCCAATGTCATTCCCTTCAGATTAAGTATTTTTAGCTTTGACTTGAATGAAAACTTAATAAAAATGTATTGCTCTGGCAGTAGGTAAGATTTCAGTAGGTAGATGGTAAAGACTTTTACAGGAAAAAAGCAGCACAACTATTTATCAGTTTTCAGAAATCGATGCCTGAAGAGGAGAGATAAAGTAGCTGTAGATCAGAACAGAATCAGCCCCTCTGTACCTTCGTCAGCTATAACCTCTGTGTAAAGCATGTCAGGTATGATAGCAGTTTATGGAGAATCTGCAGCCCTGGTATTTGTGCTTGCATGGACTGTTGCTGGCCCTGCATTTCAGGCAGGGGTTTGGGGCACTTGCCCTTGCCTGTGCCCGGCTGGGCAGGCCCCTTGGCCCCTGTGCAGAGTCGGCATGGCTCCCAGTTTTGCCTCCAGAGGGACCCTTACTCTAGAAACTCCTTGTGGGCTTTGAGCTGTGGGTGTTGATGCAGCATGCCCATCCAAAAGTACCTGAAAACTGGGAGATCAGTCCTGAGAGATGGAAAACCAACTTAACTGTAGTGGTCTTAAACAAACATGATTTTAAGTATTTCTCTGAAAGAAAATGCGTTTTTATTAACTTTTTAATAACATTATACGCAGAGAAATGATCCTTAGTGTTCTGTTTTCTAGCCGAGACAAACGCCCGCTAGGGAGGTCTGGCCTACGTCCCAGCAGTCTCCAGCACCCGGCGCAGAGGGTGGGAACGCAGGAACGCGGCACAGAGCGTCGGTCTCTGAGTTGCGCTTGTGGCCGGACGCGGGCACCTGGGAGCTCCCCTGAAAAGGCTGTGCCATTAGCTGCGAGGAGGAGAATCGTGAATGGAAAGTGCAAGTCCTCTGCTGGGGGGGGCGGGGGGGGGGAATATAGGAAATGAATTGCCAAAACGGGAAGGGTGAAATGAATGTGAGTAACTTAAATGAACTTATTTTCTTAACTTCTCGGCGTAATAAAATCTAGTTATAAACAAGGACTTTACATTAAAAGGTAGTTAAGCAAGGAAACACAGATGATCATAACATCCTGCAATTTATTTTCATCTGATTTGAGGCATGGAATACCTTGTTCTACATTCCTTAGTGCTTGTAGGTGCAAAAAATTGCAGCCTCTTGTGTGAGATTTTCTTCATTGCAGAAACTTATTTATCACTTTGATGTTGATAAACCTGGGCTAAATATTTATACTGAACTGTCCAGGCACAGAAGCTTTATGCGTGGCCCTGTGTTTATTGCAGGGGCTGCACATCAGTCCTTACTCCTCTTAGGCTGCTGAAACAGGTATTCTACCAGTTGGCCTTCAGGTAGGTACAGGTGGGCACTGTGGCCGTGGGAAACTTTGTCCTTGCATTGGCCTTACAGAGGAGAGTGGAAAATATAAGTGTCTTCCTTGGGGCATGCTTGGTCTGAAAGAGTTGGAAACGTTCCTAGAAAATACCACAAATCCATTTTAAGTTTTCACTTGAAACAAGGCAGGTTTTAAAACGAGCATGTTTATATTCCTGGTCCTAGGCAGGGCTGTGCGTGGCATGTTTTTGGCTGTAGCAGATCCGAGCGTGGTCGGTGCGTGGCTGAGACCCGCAGGAACTCGAGGAGG